ACTCATGGCAGTTTCCCAGGGGTCCTGCCCAGACCGCCCCCCACAAACATTCACCTGCACACACACACACTCTCAGGTGATTCCACTGCACTCAGGGCCCCTTTTCATGAAGACCCAGACAAAGCTCTGGCCTCTGATGTCCCCTGTGGACAGTGACATAAATAGTAAAAATCAACCTAAACCCCACAGGCTCTGCACACCTTGTCTCTAAACTTCACATTGATCCTGCAAGGAAGCTTTTATTATAACCACCCCCTAACCTTAGACATGAGAAAAATGGGGCTCAGAAAAGCCAAGTGACTGGCCTGAGGCCACACAGCCAGTATGTGACAGAGCAGGACTGGGATTCGGATGCTTCCTCCCTATTGCCGGGCCGCCATTCCTGTTTCTCTCCCAGCACCTGGCACCCAGTTCGCATTCAGGAAGTCAACCCATTCATGTGCATACGTGGGTTTTCTTTCATACATAGTCAGCACAGGCCCCAGCTGCCCCTTTCTCCAAACCCACCCTGAGCTGTGATCTCATGGCAAACTCAGAAAATCGCAGACCCCTCTGCTTCTGCTACAGCCAGAACTAGCACCAGCCTGAATTCCCTGGGTTCCAGACTCAGTTTCCCTCTGCCTCTCAGGTCCACAATCCTGAGCAAGGCTCCCCCTGCTTTGAGGAGACCGACAGCCCTGCCCCAGGTCTGCCCCTCACTCTGGAAGCCTCCGGCCACCTCCACCCTCCCCTCTTCCTCGGAAGCGTCAGGTCTGGCACTGCCCCCCTGCAGCCCCCTCTTCCCACGGCCCCCTGGGAGCCCGGGCTTTGCTTGAGGGCAGCGAGAGAAGCCGCTGTAACAGAGAAACCTCGGGCTCCCCTTTAGAAGTCCCCGGAGGAGGCAGATCTGAGGAAAGGCTGCCAAGAAGGCGCCTGCAGCAACGTCAGCTTGAGAACAACCTGGCTGACAGGATGCTGAGCGGGGATTAAGGTCGGGATCAGGGAAGCCAGGGAAACGAAGGCAAGTTCCCCGCTCCCCTTCCTGCTGCCACCGCGGCCTCCTCCGCTGCTGGGTTTGTCTTCTTGCTTGTTCTCTGGGAAAGTGGGTGGAGAGGGAAGTGGGCAGGGGTGAGGCAGGGAGGTGGAGGGTTGGGAGGACAGGGGAGAGGTGGAGACAGGTAGGCAGGGGACAGGAGGCGACTATTCTCTGGTTGTCAGGACTCGGTGAAGGGCTGGGCAGAGACAGGGTGGTCCTGGCCTGGGACCCTTCCCTGCCGATTGTCCCCAGTTGGTCCTGGGGCAGCCAGCAGCTGCCCTGTTAACCCTCCCCCGTGTGCAGAGCCTGTCCTGAGTGTTGGTGGCAGGACCCATGAGGACAGAATTGTTCTTACTCTGAGAGAGGCTCCCAGGCCAACATGGCAGATGTGATACAGCCTCCGGAAAGGGGACAGGCCTGTTTCCATCTGCCTACAAATGCAAGCTCTCTGTTCTATGGAAAGGCCTTCACTCCGACCTGCCTCGTCACTGAACTGTCACGAGAGCCTGGCCAAATGGGCTACTGAGTTCCGGATCAGCCACTGCAACAGAATTCTAGTGAAGCCTCAGACCCTTGCCTTGTCACTGGCGGGGTTAAGAGCGTGGCCTCTGGTCTCAGATGGCATGGGTTTGAATTGTGGCTCTGCCACTGATTTGCTGTGTGACCATCAGCTAAACTCTCTACGCCTCAGTGGCAGAAAATGGTAGCGCCCCCTCCTAAGGCTGTTAAGATGAAGGGAGTGAACACACGAGCAGTGCTTGGGGTAGGGCCTGCCACAGGGGATGGATGTAGTAAGGGCAGTCGCATTTATTTTGGGGGCAGAGGACAGGAATAATAGTGATAATCCAAAGTCAATCACCCAAAAGCTTCCTGGAGGAAGGGACTGTGTAATCTGATTTCTGTGTAATCTGAGGCTTGACAAGGAGTGAATGGACGAGTGAATTGGGGGTGAGGGACAGAGCCCCTGTTTGCTTGGCGAGTATGGGGCCTGAGGGGGGCGGGGATTTAAGGATGTGTCTGGAGAGAGGTAGAAAGGGTTTGTTTTCCGGGAGACCCACTCCCGGCCAGTCTTTCTCCAAAGTTCTTGCTCTAACTAGGGGTAACATGACTACTCTCTCCCAGTCCTGCCAAGGGCGAACCTGGGGTGCAAAGACCATGAAAAGACGCTGTTGATCATCGTGACCTTTCCAGAATGGGGCATATTTCAGAAATCCAAGCCATTCAGAGAAGTTTCCAGTTGTACCTGTGTTCTCTGGACCTGGTGAGGGACAAGACAAATAGAGAAACATGCAGAGACTACAAACCTGGTGGCAGATGGTCCCAGTGGGTTGGGTTCCAGCTCTGCCACTGACCAACTGTGTGACTCGGAGCAAGTCAATTAGCCTCTCTGGGCTGGTCTGTGACACGGGATAAAGATTCACACAGGAAGAGAGGAGGGCTCGTTCCTGGCCTCCTCCAGGGCTTCAACTACAGGGCCCACGCTGGCCCACGCTGCAGTTCCTCTTGGGGTTCCTCAGCCCCTCTCCCCATCTCTGGGCACCCTGGCTGCAGGCTGGGTGTAGAGAAGGGTCTGGGTAGGAGTGAGAGCTTGGGATGGGTACCAGTAATTGAGGAAAGGGTCTGCTGAGTCTGAGCTCTGGGGGAAAGCACTGGGCCAGGGGGCCTGGTCTCTGCAGGGCTGGGTGGGGAGCTCCAGGTTGGGGATTTTATCTCTAGGGGACTGGTTTCTGGAGAATGTAATTTCAAAAACTTCTTTTTTTAAAAAAAACAACCTGTCAATAAAATTTATGTATATTTATTGTAGAAAATTTGGAAAATACAGAAAAGCATAAAACAGGAGATAAAGTTCAACCATAATCCCACCACTCAGAAATAACCGTGGTAAGATTTTCCGGTATCTCCTAGATTTTTAAAGTACACACACACACTTTCACACACTCATGAACATTTACACATCTATTCACACTCGTATACTCACACACGCATTCACACACTCACACGTTTACACACATATGTGTATTTATTATAGCATAATGCACTTGATGTACCTATATCTCAAAAAATGTAGAAATGCATCGGGGAATCATGAATACATTTGCGAAATACAGTTTCGTAAAACTGGTTTCTTCATTAAATAAATTATTGAGAAACTTTCCCCCATGTCATTGAATATTCTCCTGCAGCATCCTTTAAAATGACTGCACATAGGGCTTCCCTGGTGGTGCAGTGGTTGAGAGTCCGCCTGCCGATGCAGGGGACACGGGTTCGTGCCCCGATCTGGGAGGATCCCACATGCCGTGGAGCGGCTGGGCCCGTGAGCCATGGCCGCTGAGCCTGCGTGTCCGGAGCCTGTACTCCGCAATGGGAGGGGCCACAACAGTGAGAGGCCCGTGTACTGCAAATAAATAAATAAATAATAAATAAATAAATTAAATAAAATAAATAAAATGACTGCACAGGACTTCCCTGGTGGCACAGAGGTTAAGAATCTGCCTGCCAACGCAGGGGACGTGGGTTCGAGCCCTGGTCCAGGAAGATCCCACATGCCTTGGAGCCACTAAGCCCTTGCACCACAACTACTGAGCCTGCGCTCTAAGATCCCGCGAGCCACAACTAGTGAAGCCTGCCCGCCACAACTACTGAACCCATGCGCTGCAACTACTGAAGCCTGTGAGCCTAGAGCCCGTGCTCCGCAACAAGAGAAGCTACAGCAATGAGAAGCCTGCACATGGCAATGAAGAGTAGCCCCCTCTCGCCGCAACTAGAGGAAGCCCGCACGCAGCAACGAAGACCCAACACAGCCCCAAAACAAATAAATAAAATAAATAAATTTATTTAAAAAATAAAATGACCGCACAGTGCTCCATCTCCTGAGTGTGTTGTAAGGCATATACTTCCATCCATCCTCAAATTTTGGTCATCCAGAATGTTTCTAGATGTTTGCTATTATAAGCAACACTGCAACAAACATCATTGTAGAGAAATTCTTGAGGGGGTGGCCAACTCTGCAATTGTTTACTGGTCTGTCTCCCCGCAGGCCAGAGTGTGAGACTTTCCAGGGCCGGCTCTGCATCCTATTCGCAAACCTCACCCCTGGTTCCTCGTAGACATCCAGTAATTGTTGAATTGCATTGCATTTCTGGAGCTTGTGCTCTGGACTGAGGGACTGGGATGGTGGGCTGATCAAGAGGGAGCCCACCTTCCCTGCTAGAACACTCAGGGCTCCCCAGCGCCCTATGTTGGGTCCGCCAACTTCTAGGAAAAAAATCATTTCTGAGCCCAGAGCCACTGGCCATCCCGGAGCCTCGCTGAACTGCCTCCCTTTATCTTCCTGGGCAAACCTAACTTGCCTCCCCCTGCACACCCCCCTACATCTGACTCATTTGAGTCCTTTTGTTGTGTCTTCAAGCTGAAGGCCTAGCCGACAGAGCCCTTTCACCTGCTCATTACTGCTGGAGTAATGTTGTGGTAACTTGCTGGGCTCCCCATGAAGCAGCCCCCTCTCTGGCCCCCATTTCTCACAGCACAGCCCCTTGGCCCCTGGGAAGTGCCCACAGGGCACACCTCAGCCCTGCCCCCTGCTCTGCCCGCCACCTCCCGAGGCACCAAGGAGCCTTTGTCTCTTCCACCCCGCTGGCTCTGGGCAGATGCTGTCATTCTTCCTAGTACAGATTTGTAGAATTATGGATTTTGGAGCTGACACCCAGCTCCCCATTTCTCAATGGGTCTTTAAAATGAATGAGAGGTAAGAGACAAAAATGGAGAGATAAAACTTACTAATTTAATTTCCCCCCTCAAGCATCCATGCCCCCAACCTCCTGCAGTTTTCTCTTTTTTATTTTCTCTTTCCCTCCCTCTTCTTTTTCTCCCTCTTCCCCCTTTCTCTCTTCTCTCTTTCAGCTCCGACACTCTCTCCCACCCTCCTGTCCTTATTTCCCCTCCTCTCCCCTTCTTTTTTAAGTTTTTTTTTCTTTTAACTTTCAAGGTCATTCCGGACTCCTGACGCCGCCAGTCCCTTGGTGAGAAGTGAGCGCCATTGGCGTCTGTGGCCTCTGTTTCCGTGGCAACCCAGTAACCATTAATTTTCAATTAAAGGAGACAAAAAGCTCGATGACAGCTCCAGGTCTGCTGAAGATGTCAAGAATCTGTATTAATATACAGCAAGAGAGCATAATTGTGTGTCCATCTTCCAGAGCAGCGAAAAATGGAGGGATAATTACCAGCTCGAAAGCCACTCTGTAATTTAGTTCTTACTGTCACCACAGCCCTACACATTAGCATAAATTAAAAGCAGAGTTTATTGTTATCAAAGTGCATTGATATCGCCAGACCCGCTTTCTTCCTTTTAACTGTTTGTCGTGGGTGAGTGACTCCCCAACTCTCTCAGGGTCTCCCTGGGGTGCGGAGAAGTTCCAGCGCAGGGGCTACCGAGGTACGGATGCTGGATCTGAAGGTCTTGGTCATTTCTGCCATCCTCCCTTGGGGTGGATGGGGGCAAGGCTCAGGGCATCACCCCTCTGGTGGGATCTGGGTCTCGGGTGGGGAACTTGGATAGTGATTTGCCTCCCACGTGTGAGTGATTTGGTTTGCCCGAGGGCCCTCTAGCTCTTTCCGGAGGGGGCTGCTGCCCATCTTGGCATCCCCTTTCAGTGCCTAGTGCGGCGCAGGGCAGGTGATGTGTGCTCAAAGCCAGCCTGTGAAAACAAAGTGAAGGTCGAGGGGTCTCCTTTCCTGGGGTAGATGTCAGCGGGGGCCCTTCCTGCTTCCCCAGTTCAGGCTGTGAATTTCCCAGCTCAGTGTGGAGATGCTCCTGGCTCTGGTCCAGTTCCCACTGGCCACTCAGGGCCCCAGGTCCCAGTGGGGCCCCTCTGGATGCCCCTCCCCTTGCTGCTGGGCCATCCATTACCATGCCCTCCCCTCGCCTGGGTCCTGCCTCCTTGCAGACTCAGCTCTAAGTAGCTACAGTGCCTGGAAGTGCCTCGCTGCCAGGGTGCCAGTGACAGCAACAGAAATCATGAATTTCTGTGAATGGGGGATGCGGGGTTTTCTTGTATTCTATCCAGAGAGAGCTGTCCTTCAGAGGGGAATTGAGTGTAATTACCCTTAAGGGAGCGATCCTTACACAGTCAGTCACAACACTGACCTCCTGGCTGAGATCTGACAGTAAAATTACAGGCTGTGTACTCAACAGAAGGGGCATCCTCCTTTTTTGGGGGGCGGAGGCAGGAAGGAAGGAGGAGGAGGGGAAGGAGATACAGAGGCTTTGAAAAGAAAAGTGCTGGCTTCCAGCTGCCAGGAGAGCGGGTTCTCCTAGGCAAGGCATTGTGGGGCAGGGAGAGATGTCCAGAGATTCCCCCTTTACTTCCGCTGGTCCTGAGGGGGTGTTAGAGTGGACATTTCGGCCCTTTAAATCTCTGAGCCGTGCGTGGTCTGTGATCTTCGCTAAAGTTAATCTCATTGTAGGTTAGGGTTTAGAGGATACTAGAATTTATTCACTAAACCACCCACACATGTTTCCCCAAACACATCTATCTGTCCCTTGGTCTCTCTCCTGGGGCCTGAATTTCCACTATTCCTCCTATCTTTGAGTTAATACATCCTAGATCCTGTTAAACTGCCCCTGGGTTATTTACTTGGCAGGACTAACATGCTAATCTGTGACCACTCCAAATTTAGCATGGATTTATCTGTCACACATGCTGGCCTGTCACATGGTAGAACCCTAAACCCTAAGGACGCAGGTCAGGCAAGTTTTCACAAGGTAATAGAGAAAGTCCGCTTTGTGGGCAGATCGCTATAGACTGTAAAGCCAGGGAAGGAATGGAAATAGATCCCCAAATCTCCTAGCTGGGAGGGACCCCCAAACCAGCAGATCCAAACTCCTCTCAGTGCAGGGGTCCCCTCTGCTCCACTTCTCTCCAACTCTAAAGAGGTCCATTCTGCACTAAACACCACCGACTCCTGGAAAATTCCTCCTGAGTAGAGTGCAAATCTGTTTCCTATCTTCCCTTTGGAGCGGAGGGACGAATCTAAACTTTCTCCAGTGGGACAGCCTTTAGCTACATGGACACAATGTCCAACATCTTCTCCTTCACTTCCGGGACCCAGTGGGCCCATCACCATCCAGCTCACCCTCCCATGGAAGAGCCGAAAAGGAATCTCAAAGGACGAAGGAAGACCTGAAACACTAGTCCAGCGTTTACTGAGCATCTACTACTTTCCAGGCACAAACACCCACCGCACTTCCTTTCATCCTGTCTAGTGAGGAGTGGATATGTTATTCCCATTTTACTGTAGAAGAAAAAAAAGACCCAGGAAGCTGCAAGTCACTCGCCCCAGATGACCCAGTGGCAGAGGGGCAGAGCCACGATGGGAACCCAGTGGCAGAGCCACGATGGGGACCCAAACTCCTGATTCTGGTGAGGCTTTCTTTGAGCATCCAGCTGCCTTTGCCCCCAGGCCCAGCAAGCACCCTGAACTCTGTCATTGCTCTGCCTGTCTCCCCACCTCCAAGATGCTTTGCTCCAGGGATGCCTTCTCTCCTCTCTCCTTGGCAGGGAGAAGGAATTCCAGGGGAAATCCATCTCGAGTCCTGCTTCCTCCCTGAAAGCTCCCCTGCCCTCAGTAGCTGCTTTAATGACAGCACCAGCAATTATTTACGACCGCAGGACCACACTCCAGAGCTTGTAATGTTCTAAAGGAGGGCACTTCATTCAATTCCCCAGGCATTCTCCGTGACTGAGGGTTCTACCTGGACCCCTCTCCCCTCTGAGATCTGTGTCTCCTTCAAGACCACCTTCTCAGTGATGCCAGCCCTAACCATCTTTCCCAGTTCCTTGTACCCAGCTCCGTCTCTTCCCACAGTTCCTATCACCTTTTAACATAGTATATAATTTGTTCATTTTTAGGCTCGTTGCCTATTTTCCTCCACTTTCACCTCCCAAAGGGCAGCAACTTTGTTTATTTTGTTTACTGTTGTGTCCCAAGCATTAGAACCCTGCCTGGTAAAAAGCAGGTGACTGATGCGTATTTGTCAAATGGGTGGGAGGAATACTTAAAACCCAGGCGTGTTAGTTTTACAACAAAGAGGAACTAGGGCTCTAATTATGGGTTACGTGGCTTGTCCAAGGTCACAGAGCTGGTGGTACCTAGATCCAAGCCCTCATTCATTTGGGACTGCTGAGTATGGGGCTCTAAGTCGGGCCTGATGGGCAGGGGGGAGAGCAGCTGGTTTCCTGGGGGACTTCTGCCTGCACACCCACCGGCGGGTCCTTCTGGGTCCCCCTTCCCTCCTTTCTCTTCCTGCGGCTCCTTTCAGCACCTCTCCCAAGCCCCAGCCGGGGAGGGGCTTGCAGGTGCAGTCTGACTGGATTCCCTCCCCTGAGGACTGGTCCCTGCCTGGCCTGGAGTCCACACCCAGGGGCCCTGGGCGCCCCTGGGCGCCCCTGGGAGGCCCCCATTCTGGTCTCTGAGTGGCTCCTCTCCCTGGGATGTGAATCTGGGCCCCAGAGTGGCCACACAGAACATACATCTTAAACAAACACTTCTCCTTGCTGTTTATCTCCCTGGCCTTTAAACAAACTCTTTCAGAGGTTTCTGCTGATAGGAGAGATTTACTGAAAACCATTCCTTGCTTAAAAGCTCTGGGTTTATGCTACTGGGGTGGAGGCACGTGGTATATCCTCCGGACCACGTGTTTATCCTCCAGGCCTTGATAGACGAGCAACACAGACTAATCTTTATGGAAAAGAAAGTAGGAAAAGCAGGAAAGGGGAGGGGTGGAGACTGAGGGAGAAGTTCGGTTCTTGTCTTTGACTCCAGGAGGCCGTGGCAGATCTAGTACCGCAGCACCCATCACACTGCAGCCCGAGGGGGCAGGGTGCGGCGCCCGGCAGGGTGGGGCTCCCTTGAACTTTGGACGGAAGGCCCTTGGGCAGGTGAGCCTCTTCTGGGGCCCCCAGCCCCGGACAGAGGCCCGAGTGGGCCTCCCCTAGTTGGAGGAGGTGAGGGCAGGGACGCAGGGCAGCAGTCACATGACAATATTTAATCTTGTATTCGACCAACATTTAGGAAGCACCTAGTGTGTGCTGGGACCTGGGCTTACAGAGTTGAGTAATCGTTAACCTCTACCTCAGCATTTCTGTCGGCCTGGCGCTGTTCTAAATCGCTTAGCTGAATTAACTCACTAACTACAGCAGGCCTAGAAGTAGATTCTGTAATTATCCTAGTTTTGCAGATGGGGAAACCAAGGCACAGAGAGATTACTGAGCCACACCCCAGAGGTTTTGGTTTAATAGGGGTGCAGTCCGGGCAACATATTCTAAAATATATCCCGAGCAGAGAGCTACTGTTATAGAGATGGACGTACTCCTTGCCCCCTCCTCGTCTTCCCAGTAGCATAGCATTTCATCAGTTCTAAGGTACACACATCTTTGACATCTGAGATATGTCTCACAATCCACTGACAGCAATATTTTTTAGTGGAACATAAAGTAATGGTGCATCTTACAATCTTAGGTTTGAGAAAGCATAGAAATAGAGAACGAATCTCTACCACCTGTGGGCACGGGCTGGGTGGGTTGCATGCATTTTCTCATTACTCTACTTCCCAAAGCTTTGAGACACATCTTGTGAGCACCTCTGATGAGAAAACAGAGGCACCAGGAATTTACTAACTTGCCTAAGACCAAATTCAAACTGTGGATTTGAATCCACAATTAAATGGCCTAATATTTACTCCTGACCCTTGAAGGGTGCTTTATACTTTTCAAGCTGTCTTCACATTTATTTTGTCCACTGAAGAAGAAAGACTGAGTGGCCTTGTAAGTTACACACCTGACTTCTCAGCCTGTAAATGTGAAAGACCCATGGGAGGTTTTCTTGTTTTTGTTTTTGTTTTTAAACCTACCTGGGCTTTTGTAGATAGAAGCTGCTCCTAAGAGGAGAATGGGGCCAGGGAAGTGGGCCAGGGCAGAGGCCCTGGGCAGGGGCGGATGTCATTGCAAAGACTCGGCTGACTTCCGTCTGTGCTTTGTTTGTGAAGTGAAGGGGCTATTGCGGCAGGTGGGGACGGGAACGCAGGTAGGAATTTCCAGGCCGGAAGCCACTGCCCCTCCTCCGTGTTTACACTTGGCAGGCCACACCCCTCAGGATGGCACAGACTGACACCCCTTCCCTCATCCGCCTGCTCTGAGCCAAAAGCCTTTCCCAGCACCCTGAAAGTACTTTTCAGCACCTGAGCCTTGTCCTGGGCTGGGCTTCCAGGGAAGAAAGGGGGAGAATGTGATGGGGAGGTTAGAGGTGGGGTGAGGTAAGA